GCGCTATTTTTCACGTTCTTCGTCTTTCCAGCGATGGCCCATTTTGAGTAAATGGACTAAAATGTGCCCTCCAGAACTCGAACATGAACCGAGAACAAGGATGAAAAGGAATCATAAAAGCAACAAAAAGAAAAAAAAGAAACACTGCTCCAACGGCACACGTAGAAGATCACTGAGTAGAAATCGAAGTACCGGTGAGAGAGGAAAGACATTATGATAAGGAACAGAAAAAGCTTTCGACAGGGCAACGCTATGGAGCAGCAAAGCTGATTGTCAGCGTAGCCGTTGTAAGACAACTAGTCCACTTGAAGAATTAAAGGATAAGGAAGCACTCACCTCGTATGCAAAAAACCCAGCGTGCATTAGGCGGCTGCATTAGAATAAGCAATGAAATTAGCAACAAAAGGGTCAGCCTGAGCAACGCAACTAGCCGTGGCTATCCCGAGGCGGGCCAAAGTAGATGCCTCTTTGATCTAAATACGAACCCCGGGCGTAAAACTCAGACCCAAGTACGTACCTATAAAAAGCACGCACTTGTTGACCCTTGCTTGCCAAGACAAATTAAAACGACAGCCTGACGATGGGTAACATGACAAGGAAGTGAGTGAAATCATGTTTTCCCTACATTTAGGTGTCCGACAACGGCCAGGATAGGAAGCAAGAAACTAAAAGAAATATAGCGGCCCCGGACGAAAGCTTTCCAACAAAAGATATGGAATTTTGTGATAATAACAGATAAATAATTGAACCACCAGATAGTAACAGCGCCCAAAAGAAAAAAAAACTAAAAATAGAAACTGAACGACAGCCTAGACAACTAGAAGTCTTGCACACCAATCATTCGCATAAAGTCAATGCCTAACAGTGCCTTTTTGAAATGGGATGTCTTTCTTTTTTCGAAAAGCTCCAGCGGGAGTTTATTGAGCCATGTGGACGTCCTGTAGAAAAAAGAGTTCCTGGCAATAGTATTTTGCAAGCGAAGACCGTGATTAGCTCTGTAAATACTGATGTTATAGGAGGGCCTTCTTATGGACGACGGTTTGAAGCACCAAAAGCTAGAAGGACGAAAACAAGACTCACCCTTGAGGATCTTGAAAGCGAGTACTATATCAGAAAATGTCCGCCTGTAGAGAAGACTTTTCATGCAGAGTTCTCTCAACCGTATACTGTAAACTGGCAGGGATCTTGGATATCCAGGTTCGGGAAAAATGCGGTAGTACAAGAGTCTGGTGAAGATCATTTGAACCTTTTCGAGCTTACAGATAAGTTTTCTTGAATTAGGGCTCCATACCTGACAACAGTATTCGAGAATAGGGAGCACATAGGCCTTGTACAGCCTGGTGAGAATTGTCAGGTCGGAAATCTTAACGATTCTAAACAAGCAGTAGAGGCGTTTAAGAGCCTTGGCCACTATGGCATCAATATGCGCTTCCCAACACAATGACTTTGAAACAATAACACCCAGATCGCGACTTTGAGTAAGAGCAGTTGATGAAGGCAAACCATTCAACGTGAGTCTGACCGATCTTTTGCCTAGTGAGAGTAAGCAAGTTTTATGAATGTTGAGCCTGAGGCCCCAATCACTTGTCCATTGTGTCATGCGATCAACTACGCTGTCTAAAAGGACACTGGCGTCGGAAAAGTTGCAGCAATCTGAGCTTATGAACGCTTTTACGTCATCAGCGAAAGCATATATGTTGACGTTCCGGTTGACCGTTAAAGCAGCAGGGAGATCCATAGTGTATATAATAAACAGGAGTGGGGACAACACGCCCCCTTGAGGAACCCCTGAATTACACTGAAATTTGCGAGAAAGAGACCCTTGGTAGTTGACCACGAAAGTTCGATCTCGAAGATATGACGTCAACCAATCAAGAAGGGTACCTCTTATGCCAACGCTCTCGAGCCTTTTGAGTAGCTTCGTATGAACAACTGAATCAAAAGCTTTACTCAAGTCGAAGTAAATGATATCAACATTCTTTGAGGAGCTAAGGGCTTCGGCCCACTTGTGGGTGCATTCTAAAAGTTGCAAACAGGTAGAAGAGTTTTTGACAAAGCCAAATTGTTCAGGGGGGATAAGGTTGAATTTCTCAAACCACTCGAGAAAGCATGACTTCAGGAATTTCTCCATTACTTTACATGGCGTGGGAGTTAAACTAATCGGTCTGAAATCACCCGGAGATGAGGCACTCGGTTTCTTAGGGATTGCAGTAACGATCGACTCCCTCCAGTAACGTGGAACTTCGCCGGTGAGCAATGATATATTCAGGAGGTGACAAATGGGAGCTGCAAGTTTACGGGCAAACATCTTATAAAATATTGCAGGTACACCATCAGAGGGTATCGAAGAGGAATTCTTGGCACAACGTAGATATTTGTAGACCTTAGAAGGAGTTATTATTGGCAAAGGGCATTCAGAGTCAACTATTGGAGGAAGGCTGCTCGTGTTTTCCTCGGGTGAATCGAAAACACTTGCAAAATAATCGGCCAGGGCATTGGCTCTATCTGACGCAGAAATCAGCACATTACCGGATGAATTATACACGCATGGAACACTATATTTTTTACCCAATCTTTTGCTGACGTAGGAGAAGAGACCTTTCATGTTTTGACAGTTGGCGAGCTTTCTCTCTTTATAAGCGAGGTAGCGCTTGAGGTGGAATGTAAAATCACTGTTGGCTTTTTTGTACTCAGAAGACGTCAGAGGATCATCAAGGATTTGAAACAACCTTTCCCTGTATTCATATAGATTCCTGATGTGCCTAGGATATGTTTCCCACAAAGAAACTTGTTTCCTAATAGGAACATAGCGCTCAATAATCGTATGCACAATGGACAAGAATCTATCGTACACATCATCAATTGAAATATATCGATCGAACACCGAAAACCAGTCAATTTTATCGAGTACGTTATTAATTTCCACCGCATTTGCTCTAGGATAATCTCTCCAACTAACTTTAACGGCGCTGTCCTTAATATTGATTGGAATTTCGATCCGACATTTGATGACATTGTGATCCGAGGCTCCTAATGGCGGGATAATAGACGGAGTGGCGAAGAGCTCAGGGGAAGTAAGTATAACGTCAAGGATCGTTGACCCGCAAGTAGGCTCCAAAACATTTTGTTGGAGATTAAGGCTAGAGAAGAGGGAAGTAAATCGACTAAACCTGGGTTTGCGGGGCAGGGGCAAGGGCGCCTCAGTTTTGGACCAATCAATGTCTAAATTGAGATCACCAAGCAGAACTACATTACTTATCGACGAGCACAAATCGGAGATGAGGCAACATAGCCTATCATCATCAACCGCACTTTGATTTGGAGGGCGATAAATTAAAAGGAATCGAATGTACTTACACGAGTCAGAAAGCATGTCAAAGCAAAGGACATCCGCTGGAATATTGGGGGGATCAAAAGGTACCTCTTTGAAATCAATATATTGATGTAAGAAAACACACAGTCCACCCCCTCTCTTGTTTACTCTATCTTTTCTCACAATTTTATAGGGTAACGTGGAAATGATCTCCGTATTTGTGATCTTAGAATTGAACCATGTTTCAGTGACAAAAATTCCCTGAGGCTTTTCGTGTGAAATAAGGTGATGGAGCTCAGTGAGTTTGTTAACTAAACTACGTGCGTTAAGAAGCAGAAACGAAAATTGCAGACATGGGGAGACTAGTTTTTTGAGGTTCCTGACTTCATGTTAATGATGCCAGGAATCTCAGATTTTTTAACTACCTGTTGTCTGAAGACAACAAAGATCCTCTCCCCACCGGGGTTTGCATCATTCAGCTCTTTTGCTCGGGCACGGAGTTTCCTCTCATTTTCGATTTCACTGGGAGTCATTGATCGACGAATGAAGATGTCCTTAAACGATGGGTTGTTCCTTAGTAATCTGGAGTTTTTAAGTATTTCGAAAAACTGTTTACGAGAAGAAAAAACACACTTCACAAGACGATTTTTACCAGGTTCGCGCTTTCCTAGTCTAAAGATTTCAACAGGTCGCGCCTCGACATCAAGCTCATCTAAAATTGCACTTACCGCCAGTTCAGTTGCCGCTTGACGTTTTGTTGCAGATAGATTAGGGTCCTCCGGAATACCAGTGATGACTATTGACCGTGCACGCTTCTCGGCAGCAACGATTTCAGAGGGGTTTGGTGTAAGGAGACCAACAAGTTTCTCTAGAAGGGGAACAGCTTCCGGGGCTTTCTCTTCTAGTATGCCCTGAAGCTCAGTGAATAGAACGGAACAGTCGTCAGATAATGAATTTGCAATTTGGGCCATGTAGGGCGATGAAGGCTTCCGCTTTTTCGGATTGACCGGGGTCAGGGAGTTCATGACGGGACCAGAGAGCGATCGATGACACGACCGCTCGCCACGACCGCACAATGCAGAATGGTTGTTCTTCTTGTTTTGTTGTTTCTGTTCCTTTGTTTCTTTTTTTTGCTTGCGGCCAACTTGGCGTCCACAATTTCATTTTCGACGGTTTTACCCCACTGAGGTAAGCAAACCAGTCC